CTTGTGGATGGACAAGGTGACTCCATTCTAGATCCTGATACCTGTGTGCTTTGGGCAAAGAATAAAGGAAGTGACTGAGAAACCTTCTTTGTGTTCCCGTTGCACCCAGCGAAGAACTTGTACGTACTTCTGGTGCGTCGTCATTTGGCCCCGTGTATCTTCCCTTCAGTAGTTGCTGATTATTGACAAGTGCGAGGCTTATTACAGATGGCCTCCCGTGCTTTGCCATGCTCTCACACTGTTGACAGGGATGAGGGTATGTAGGTATGCAAGTAGGTGGAAACTTTCTAATACACCATAATATTAATAATAATAATAATAATGCACACTTCTCTTGTCTTGCAGCTTTCACTAGAACTTCTGCCCACACATCAGCCTACTTGGTTCACAAAGCTGTGTGCATGCTAGACAATTAGTGGTTGATAATGAAAAATGTCATAGGAACCAGCAGGAAAATCATAGCTTACTCCAGATATATAATGAAATGTAATTAGCACAGACAGTAAAACAGACAATTTATGTTTTTTTGTAATTAAAAAGTGTCAGTAAACATTCCTTTTGCAGGAAGCTTGATATCAAATGGAATTAAAAAGTTACTGTCTGGAATAGGATTCTGTGCAAAATTTAACCTTTGCAACGCTGAATGGATTAAGATTTTCTAATTGCGGAACCTCTAAGTGAAACTACTGTGGCCCTTTCTGTTTATAGGGGCCCCGTGCACTCATGGAATTCCTGGGACATTTGTCACTAGCCAAATCCCCAAGTGGATTCAATGAACATAATGGTATGGCCGATATTTCCCTCATGCTCTTCCAGACAGATTCTCCTCTGCAGTCACCTTGTAGTGTGAAGGTGGCTTTGAGAGAGAGGCTGAAGTGGGAATACCGCAGTAATATCTTATGCTTCTGTCAGATGTCTCCTGTTCATCTGCTGTCCATCTCTGATCTCCTCTTTTCTACCTAGGGACCTTTCAGATTGCATCTTGTATTTGTTTTTCAACAGTGTACACAAAGGAATGTGTGCAGTTGCCCATGTCCTCAACCTGCTAGGAATGTAAATGCGATTTCTTGTCTTGCTCTCTCAGGTGAGGCTGTATGGATCCATTATAGCAGTGCACAAAGGCACCTATGGCATTAATTTCTTAGCTTAGAAATGAATAAATGAGTGGGGGCGAGTCCTGGCTAAATGGACTGTTCATGTCGCAAAGCACGTGGTAGCCAGCTCCTTCCCTGGCCTTGGGTATCCAAGGTTTGAACCAAGAACTGAAGGTGAGCGTCACGAGTCTCACCCAAGTGCCTCAACCACAGGCCACACTGCTTCTCCATTCCGTGCCTTCAGGCGTGGTCTGTCATCCCTGGAACGCTGTGGTCATACAAAACCGAGAAGCTGACGTTACTGCCTCCAGGACCAACTTCCTCTCTCGTTGCTTGCCTCACTACTCCTGCTTGGTCCTTTCTCTGGTGCAAGCTGCACCATGAACAGGGCTAGGAACTGGACTGAGTTAACACAACCTTTTTATTTAGTTAGTTGTTTTTCCTTTTAAGCAGGATCAGTTTCCTGATCTGATTCCTGAAGGAAGAGATGACCCAGGGCAGGAGCCAAGAGAGAGCCCAGCTTTTTCTTTTGAGGTCAGTGCTGGTTTATGCCCATCACTGAAGCTGGGATCTCTGGTTTGAGAAGACTGTAACCTGTTTGTGACTAGTGGTTTTTCCTTTTGTTTATGTGAGAAACTCAGGCACACCCCAGAGATGCTGTAATACAAGCGATGTCTGTGCATTGCTGCTGCTGTACCTCCTCAGCCCCCTCCCAGGCCCCAAACCAGAACGGAGCTCTGCCCTCAGTCAGTCTTGAAGTAATTTCTCAGGCATAGGCTTAGCCTGGAATTTCATATTTGCAGAGAAAGCCATTCAGTTAAGGGTTGAGCGGAGAGATGGGCCACATAGTCAGGACCGTATGTAGGTGCAGTGTGTCTTGCTGCCTGCTGACAGAGGAGCAGAGATCCAGCGTGGCTCCCATCACCAACGGATACATCCTTCCACCAGAGGCCAGGTGCAGATTGTAATATTTCTACCCACATATGTGAGACAGTGTTCAGGTGCAAACTCACAGCCCTCTCTCAGAGATGCTACAGCACAAGCTTCTAGTATTTAGCATGGATAATGTAGGGGAGAGAAGAGGAAACTTCTGCTAAAAGCCATGGGATAGGATCCAGCTGCCTCCTCGCAGTCCAACAGAGCCTCCTTGGGAGGTGGGCTCTGTGCTTTGCTGCGGGAGCAGTCTGTGCACGGAGGTAACACATCCTGTATGAACTGCGGTGGTCCTGCTGCAGGGGCGCCTTTCCTTTTTCCACGGTGCCTGTAGTGAGGGGCGGGATAGTAAAGGGATCTGATGCCTTGTTGGTAGCTGGCTGATAACTGTTGCTGTTCGGAAGTGTGGGGGTGGATCCTTTCTCCTCTGGTCTCAAAATGGAGCAGTGGGCAATAATGCTCTCATGTCAGTTTGAGATCCTCTAGATCGAGCAGACACCTCGTAATAGGTCTCAAAGTTTCCTCTTAGGATGCCTAGTCTGCTCAAGGGTTGGTTATTTAGGTGCTTTTTCCTCTGATATTTTGCAAGATACTGTGTAGGCCTAGTGGAGAACGGGCACTTCTGGGATTTCTGTGTCGGCGGGTCTTGTAGCACATCGGAGCATGTGCAGGCCAATCAATGTTTAAAAATACTGATGGCTTGCTTGTGTCCTTTCTGAGGGCATGACACGTGGGCACTGACATCTCCTCGGGCTCAGAGCATAGTTTTCATGAAAAGACTTGATAAATAGTAAGAAATCCTTGCAACCCCTCTACGTCATGCCCTCTGCAATGAAATCACTCACACTGACAGTAATATTTTGAAGGCTGAGTTTGCTCCATACCTGCTCCAAACAGGCAGATTTTAAGCTAAACTCCCCCCACCTGCACACTTGTGTACAGATATGAGGAGATCCAAGGATTTTACATGTGGGATAGAGACCAAATCTTTCTTCCTGCCTATGCTATGCTCAGGAAAAGGGGAGGAGTCAGTGATGGGACTCAGCCAGGCTGTCATATATATTGTGGACATTATGGCTTCTGTGATTTATACAGGGCTTCTTTGATTTATCCGTGGCTCCAGCAGCCCCTTAGTAGTGATTTCAGCAGCTGAAAATAGCTAGAGTGAATGTGGCCCCAGCCACTCTCACGTCCCCAGTTCTGCTCCCTGGGTTGAGGTGGAAGGGGGGAGATCAGACTGGTACCTACTTGTCAAATCATCCAGGAC